CCTCTCGACTAATAGCATCGAATTGACGCTCTCAGTGATGTTGCTTGTATAGTGGCCAAATCGACGGCCACGAAAGAGCGCCTCTGCCCAGGTTCACGGCTCAGCAGCCTCGAGGTAAGCTGCCGCAATAGGCTTCACCTCTCGAAGGGCATTGAGGGCACCCTTATAGGCAGCTCGGGTTCTCGCTCGAGCTACCTTCCAAAAGAAGGGGGCCAAACCTCTCCCGAACTTCTCTGTAAAGTTCTCCTTGATGTGATGGCAGCAATGTGCCACCACTACACCCCCTTCAATCCTTGCCTCCACCTCCTTAAGTCCCTTGTCTCGATCAAAGACAAGGGTGCTCTCCACCGCCGAGAAGAAGCTAGGGATGGACCATCAAAGGTGGTCTAAGAACCAGCGCCAGGAGTCTCCATTCTCCGACTCGATGAGAGCCCAGACAAGAATGACATTCTCGCTGTTAGCATCGAGGCCAACGGCAAGAAGAAGCGTGAGGATGAAACAGGCCTTATAAAAGGTCCCATCCACCGCCATGAACCGACGAAGGAAGCTAAACGTCTCTCGAGAGACTGACGGGCAGACGAATATGCGCTGAAAGTGCTCTATAGATAGTTAGTAACTGTAGAATAGAAGAAAGAAAAGAGTCGATATGGCCATTCAAGCAAATACAAAGGTGTCAGCAGGGTTCTGTGGTGGAGGGGAGGAAGGGAAGGGGGAGGAGGTTTGGGGGTCTCAATTGACCCCCGACTTACCGTGCAATTGAGCTGGTATATTACCAGCTCAATTGCTTCAAAAAGGCCATATGAGAGCATGTACTCTCAAATGAGAGTACACCTCTCATTGGCTCGTTAACCTTTCCAAAGGAGGGTTAGCGGCCGACTGGGTAGATGGAGTTTTCTTACCAGTTTACTGGGTATATCGAGTTTTTGCCCTATATTCATACCAACTGCCATGGGGGTAAGCCAAAGCTCAGGGTTTTGGCTACTCCCCAGGAATCACCTATATAAGCTACGTAGAACGGTGAGATATTTAGATAATTCAATTGACTTTCGTGGGTAGATCAATAGTATGAGTACGGAGGTATAGTCTGGAAGTTTTGTAGGTGGGGCCCCCCACTCTCAACACTTGGCAATTCGGTCGAAGTACCATATGTGTTCATCGCGTCAAATTGAATTATATTTTAAAAAGTACAGTAGATAGCTAGGAAATAGAGTAGGAAATCTAGTACTGTGTAAACAGTCCATTTACGTCAATTACTGCTTGCATACGTGTAGGCATACTATCCATAAGCTCATTAAGCACTATAGGTGAAATAGACTCCCATGCTGCCTTCACAGCTACCCGGAGCCGGTCATAAGACATAACTTCAGGATAATTATCCTGAAGATAGTTCTTCATATAGTGCCATACTCGCTCAATTGGATTAAGGTCAGGGGAATAGGGTGGCCACTCAATTGGGTATATGCCACGCTCTGCAAACTCTGCAATAGTTGCACCTGCTCGGTGCCCTGGAGCCCCATCCTGCATAAGCAGAAGACCTGGATATTGTCGTATCCAACCGTGGATTACAGGCACAGTACGGTCCATATAGGCCTTTGAGCAGATTTTCCCCCAATCCTTCTCCCAAAATATGCAAGGCCCTTTACCTAGAGCTCCTGAATAGCAGCCCCAAAAACCCAAGTCCATGTATGCCGTCCACCTGTTACCCAAGTCTCATCTGTCCATAGTATCCTATCCCAGTTGTTCCGAGTCCAATCTTTGTGCTCAAGTGCAAAAGCAAGGCATTTTACTCTATTTGTCTCAGAAATAGGTGGTTTTCTCGTTGCGAGGCGGCGATGGTAGCCCTCTTTATGTAGTGAATGACGTAAAGCAAGCCTACCACAAGATAGGTCTAGGACCCGGATAACCTCAATATAAGGCATACGTCTATTATTTGTAGACGCAGAGATAAATTCAATAATCTCTTTAACTTGGGCTTGCGAGAGGGTTGGAGGTCGACCAGATCGCTTTTTCGGTGAGGGCCTGCCTTGCTCCATAGCGTACGACGCCTGTCAGATTGAGCAACGCATTCGAGTGGCAATGGCTTGATACTCCCAATTAAGGGAGCGTAGTAGTTGGCATTTAAGCCACTCATCACGAGTAAGGTGCGGCATTGTTAATAGAAAATAGATATAAATTCATATAGTATAAATATATAAAGGAAAACTTACAACACGTTAAAAGGATACAAACAATTGAACGCGTACCCATGCTCACGCAATCTTAATAGTACGCCCCACCTACAAAACTTACGAACTACGGAGGTGTTGTTCATAAGTTTTGTGAGTGGGTCGGGCTAGGGCCCCCTGCGTAGGCTGGTTTGGCAATTCTGGCCAAAGTACCGATTCTCACGCGTCATGAACACTTGAGTGTGAGAGCAATCAATTCTGTAGAATAATGAGTAGAGTAGATACCTAAACCCCTATATAAAACTATACTATAAGCCTAGTACTCTGTGTGCATACCATTTGCAGCAATTACTGCTGCCATACGTGTAGGCATACTATTAAGGAGAGCATTAAGCTCAGCTTCTCCAACTTGCTCCCACGCTTCCTTAACAGCTACACGGAGCTGGTCATAGGACATATGTTCTGGATGATTATCTTGTAGATAATTCTTCATAATATGCCACACCCGTTCAATTGGGTTGAGATCTGGTGAATACGGGGGCCATTCTATAGGGCAAATACCACGGGATCTCAACTCTTCATATGTTGCACCTGCTCTATGACCTGGAGCTCCATCTTGCATCAATGTAAGGCCTGGGTGTAGGCGTAGCCAGCCGTGGATTAGAGGGACAGCCACCTGAGAAGCAGCCCCAGAACATCCAACCTCTAGGGATTGTTAGTAAATCCTATAGTAAATAGGAGTCTCTTACCTTCTCCGTTGTACTCTATCTACAACACATGTATCATCCCACATTTCCCCTGCTTTTCGAGTAACCCACGTACGAGTATGGCGGCCTCCCGTTACCCACGTCTTGTCAGTCCAAAGTATCCTATTCCAATCATTCCGTACCCAATCCTTATGTTCAATAGCCCATGCAAGTCGCTTTTGTCGATTTGTCTCTGAGATAATAGGCTTCCGCATAGCAATCCCTTAATAATTATTAGTCTATATAGTAGTAAAGTAGAGAGGGATACTCACGTCGATTATAGCCTCTCACAGACAGAGCGCGGAGTTAGGACAAGCCGTGAGCATGGAATATTAAGAATGCATATTATATTTGTATATGGCATATGTGTAATGGTGGGTGCACCAGATGTGAGAATCTAGCCACCCAGGGGAAGGGATGATTTTACTAAGACAACACACTGTCTTAGGAAAAAGAGCCAAAGGGTCATAGCTTAGACTATTCCACAACGCAGCAATCAGGTGTATGATGTAGTGGAGTGGTTTAGACAAGTTGTAACAAATGTTGAGTCTGAGAACTCAGGGATAAGTCAGAGGTTAGCACCTCACTGACTTTTCAGAAACAAGGAGTAACAAGATCAATGCTTGGAAGCTTGGAAAAGACGTGGAAGTATGTGATAGTCAATTTACTGTATTGTCTGCTTGCCCTTTCTTAAGGAAAGGGCAATCCTATTTATGCTAAAGGAGTGTAGTTCTCTCATTTTCCAAGACTTTCCATGACTAACCAGGCTTCGTAACTGTAGTCGACGTAAGAGAATCCCATAGAACCATCTCCTAGGTTCCTAGCCTATAGGAAGTGAAAGGAGGTCCAAGGTCAGAGTACCCCTATAGACAAATTATGTCATAACTTAACCAATCTTGTGGGTAACTAAGGAGCGATGACGTGTAATGAATCATAGATGGTTGTAGAAGCTTTTGGAGCTATCGTTCATGTTCCTAGGCCTCTAGTTGATAGAGATATGTCATGTGTAGTATTAGCCCAGTAACTAAGGAGTGATGTCATGTAATGAATCATAGAGGGTTGTAGAGATATGCTATGTGGTCATATCGGCCCAGTAACTAAGGAGCAATGACGTGTAATGAACCATAGAGGGTTGTAGCAATCGTTGAGTAGTATTGCTCTTGTTGTTGGTGTGACAAGCCAAAATATGTATAGTGACTTGTAGGTTTGAGGAGGAGATTTCTAAGTTTGCTCTTGAGTTTGATAGCAAACTGAGTGCAACGAATGTCAGTATGACAATACGCCTATTCGTGCGAGATGAGGCTATAAACTCAATAACCTCTTGAACTTGCTCATCGGATAGAATAAGTGGCCTACCCGAACGCTTCTTCGGAGTTGGAGGGCCCTTGGCAAGCATACCAAGCCTGCCGTTCCGTGCAGCCAATATAGGCTGCAATTTTTTGGAACTCCCAATCTAGGGAGCGTAGTAGTGCGCAACGAAGCCGCTCATCGCGAGTAAGATGAGGCATTGTAGTTATTGAAAGAGTATGAATTTCCTACATATAAAATACAATAGTAGGAATTTTGACGCGTTAAAAAGGTACAAACAAGCCTACGCGTACCCATGGTCCAACCCATGCCCAACCCCCAGTCATCTCATGACCCACTCACAAAACTTATGAACAATACCTCCGTATACCTCCGTACATGCATTTTCTCCAAGTACTTACACACCTCACTTATTACGCACAGACCCTGTGGAAACTTTTGGGCCGCACGAGTAACAACAGGGCAAAGGTCAGGCATAAAGGGTTGAACAAGACAGTATTATCAAAGAAATTAAGGAGGACCTACTTGTTAATGATTTGCCCAACTCGGAATTTGGTACGCTCAGTTGTATTATAGTTGATAATTGATTTGAAGTTGGAAGACTCGGTTTTTGGTGCATTACGCCATAGTGGTCGTTACGCCATTGCGAACGTTAAACTTGGACATATAATAGAGCAGCTTATGATCCCCCATTACTGGCCCCAAAGTACGCGTCGATAGCGTGGGGAAGAACTCGATGGCAACAGGCGTGGGTTACAGGCTTCACCATACAGATAACTATCTACAGCCTCGCTACCTCCCCTCCCATCCTCCATCCCCCCTCCTCCGCAATCATCTCCGCACACCTCTCTCCAATCGCCAGCACCGTCAACATCGGGTTGATGCTCACCATCGAGGGAAACACGCCCGCATCCGCAATCCTCACCCCCTTCAGTCCCCGCACCCTTAGCTTCTCATCCACCACCGCCTTGTCGTCCGTCTTCACATCCCCCATCTTTGTCGTTCCAACCGGATGATACACCGTGTGTGCGACCCTCCTCCCATACTCGCTCAGATCCTCGTCCGACTGCACGTCCGGCCCCGGCGCGACCTCCCTCTTGATCCACGACTTGAACGGCTCCTGCTGTGCAATCTTCCTCGCAGCCTTCAGCCCGAACACAATCGTCGCGGCGTCATACCCCTCAGGATCCGTAAAGTATCGGAAATCAAGTGCTGGCTTCACGTTCGGGTCGGTGGACGTTAGATACAGCTTCCCCCGACTCCTCGGGCGCATCGTGTTCGGCGTCATACAAAACGCAGCATCCGGGCTGTCATATCCAAGACGAGCAGTGTTCACACAAAACGGAATCTGGTAGCAGTGCATCATCGTATCCGCGATATTCCCATCCGGAATCCCCCCCTCCGTCGCAGCATTCGGCTTCTCACGACGAAGGAAGATGCCGGCATCCGAGTCCATGGTCGTCTGGTTCTGCGGGACTGGCCTGTTGAGTTCCCAGATGATAATCGACTCGTGGTGGTCCTGCAGGTTCTCTCCAACACCCGGGATATCCTTGACGACAGGAATCTTCAGCTCTGACAGATCCTTGGCTGGTCCAATCCCAGAAAGCAGCAGCAACCTCGTCGTATCGACAGCCCCTCCACACAAAATCGTCTCCGTCTTCGCCTTCAACACGAGACGCTCCCCAGACTGAAGAGATAGGTTCACTCCCGTCACCCTGTCCCCGGTCACGTTAACCTTACCGACCCACGCATTCGTCAGGATCGTCAGGTTCGGCCTCTTCTCCTTCCCGCTCAGAATTGGGTGAATATATGCGACACTCGCACTGCTTCGTCGTCCATCATCCGGGTTGTAGGCCACCGAGAAGAACCCCACACTTCCCTCCAACGCACTCTCATCCGTGATCTTCCTGTTGAAATCATGCACAACCGGAATATCCATCGCGCTGGAACACGAGTTCACCCAATCCTTGCACAGCTGGTTCCTGTGACGGTTGTGAACTGGCTGGATGCTGTTCCTGAGTTTGTCAATCAGACGCATAAACGTCTCAAACGACCACCCTTTGGCGCCCTGGCTTTCCCAGATCTTGGTGTCATACTCAAACGGCCGGAAGGAGATCAGCGTGTTATGGCTCGAACATCCTCCCAAAACCTTTGCACGTGAGTGACGGATGTGCGAGTTGCCCATGGGCTGTTCGGTGGTGGGATAGTCATAGTCGAGGTCCCCTCCAAGCAACTTCAGCCAGTCTTTCAGCAGGAGCACGCGATCATCCATGTAGTCACTAGGCCCGGCCTCAATGAGAAGGGTCTTCTTGTGAGGGAGGTACTCTGCCAGCCGGCTGGCAATCACGCAGCCAGCCGTCCCTCCACCCACGATGATGTAGTCGAAGCTATCCACATCGGACTGAGCAAGGTGTGTTGTCGTGGACATGTTGAGTGTCTTGAAGTTGGAGAAGGTACAGCCATGCGGGATATATATACAGCGGGGGAGAATGACTTGACTAATCAGTTACGTTTAATTAACGAGCTAAGGTGAAAATGCAAGACCGTGGCAAGGGGGGGGACTATATTAAAAATGGCGCCATGCATAAAGGGAAGTTGTGACATCTTTCACTGCTACATATAAGATAGCCGCTACTATACACTCCAGCCTCTTCCAACACTCAATTCGCCCACCGCCGCCCGCCGTGGAGGTGAAAAATCTCTCTCAAATCTTTTATAGTGGGTATCGAAGACGACGTCAGTGGCTTCACTACTGCACGCCAAGATCAACGGTGCCTGTCGTGTGTGACGCTAACCCGGTAACGTAAGTCGTGGCGTAAAGTCGGCAATGGCGTAAAGTCGGCAATGGCGTAAAGTCGGTAATGTACCTATACAACCAAATTTATATGTAAAGGTACTTACAACTACGAAATTTAAATCCTTAATTATTCCTTTAATAAAATTAATAGGGCTTAGCCTTCTTATATATAAGGACTTTATATAACTATCTATTATACATGAAAACGCTAGTCACTTCAGATTTTATTTGCATAAGTTATTAAAGGTATTAGATTTTGCCATACAAAATTTTAGTATGGTAAATCTAATTGTTAATAACACCCTTATTAGGCTAGCTTAAAAGCTAGCATTTTTAAGTATAATGTATGTGTAAGTAAAATAAATATGAGAGCATTAAGCTATATTAAGCCTAATTAAAAAGTTATTAAAGGTTGGAAATACAGCTCACGTGACATTTTCCACTGCAATCTCAATGCCGGCCATTACCGACTTTACGCCACGACTTACGTTAGCGTCGGCACACGGATTTCCCTACGTCACACGATCGTTGCTGAGAAACTTCATCAACACATCAGCAAGATGGGCGGTCAATATGCCCCCCGGCAGCTCTATTACAACGGCTCTGTCCAGAAGGCGACATCCTCAAAGACCTTCCAATCAATAGATCCTTCGACGGGAACTCCACTTGCGGAAATCCACGTCGCATCCAACAGAGATGTAGACGCCGCGATCTCTTCGGCGACAGAGGCGTTCAAGACATGGTCCACAACGCCGGCCATCGCCCGCGCGCGCATTCTCTTAAAAGCCGTCAAGATCCTCCGTGATCGCAATGATGAAATTGCAAAAGTCGAGACACAGGACACCGGCAAGCCGTTCTCCGAAACGAGCACAGTCGATGTGGTGACCGGCGCAGATGTCGCCGAATACTTTGCCAATCTTGTGGGAGGAGGTGGACTAAACGGAGAGACAGCCCAACTACGCGAAGACGCATGGGTATACAGCAAGAAAGAGCCACTCGGCGTCTGTGCAGGCATCGGAGCTTGGAATTACCCCATTCAGATCGCGTTATGGAAATCTGCGCCGTGCCTTGCTGCCGGAAACACAATGATCTACAAACCTAGCGAATTCACCCCCATGCACGGACAGATCCTCGCTGAAGTCTACACCGAAGCTGGCGTCCCAGCAGGCGTCTTCAACATTGTCAACGGCGCAGGCGACGTGGGCGGCTATCTCACATCCCACCCAGGCGTCGCCAAAGTCTCCTTCACCGGCCAGGTCTCGACCGGCAAAAAGGTCGCCGGTGCGGCTGCCGGGAATATGAAATACGTTACGATGGAGCTCGGCGGAAAGAGTCCACTCATCGTCCTGCCGGACAGCGACCTAGAAAACGCCGTTGACGGCGCCATGATGGCTAACTTTTTCAGCACGGGTCAGGTATGCACCAACGGCACGCGGGTTTTCGTGCACGAAAGCATGAAGAGCGCTTTTGAGAAGCGCCTGGTCGAGAAGATGCAGTACATCCGCGCGGGCGATCTCTGGGATATGAACACAAACTTTGGTCCTCTCGTATCAGGCGTACACCGCGAGAAGGTGCTGGGATACATCAAACACGGCGTCGAGGTCGACAAGGCGAAGCTGCTTTACGGAGGACTCGGGCAGCCGTCAGTACCACAAGGCCTGGAGAAGGGCTTCTGGGTCAAGCCGACAGTCTTTACGGATTGCACCGACTCGATGAAAATTATCAAGGAGGAAATCTTCGGGCCGGTACTGTGTATCCTGACATACTCTGCCGTGGACGAGGTCATCCAGCGAGCCAATGACACCCCGTTGGGCCTCGCAGCAGGCGTCTTTACCAAAAATCTAAACCTCGCGCACAAGGTGATCGGCAAGCTAGAGGCAGGTATCACATGGGTCAATACATGGGGAGAGAGCCCGGCAGAGATGAGCGTGGGTGGATGGAAACAGAGCGGTATGGGTGTAGAGAATGGCCGACGAGGAATCGAGGCGTGGGTGAGGAACAAGAGCACTTTGGTAGATATGAGTGGTGCCAGTGTGACAGTTTACTCCAAGTTATAACGGCAAATACAGCTTATTGTACAATCTTTTGTTGATGTCTTCCTGACGAAGCGCGCATGGCCGTTGAAAGATTCTTTGCGCATATCATCAGCGGCAAGGAAGGCCATGTTCTTGACTGCTATATGCGCGTGAGTTCAAGGTAGCCGATTCTCCCCTGAGATTTGTACGACATCGTCTACTGCAACAGCACGAGGGTTGTCATTGCTTGGATGTAGTGAAGCTATGGAACGTTATATAGCGCTGCCATCCATTCCATAGCTCCCCTTAACAGCCACTCAAACATCTTAGCACCGTCTCAAGCATCCACGGTCCTGCACGTCATAGTTCTGATATACATAACCATATCCCCAAAGCCCCTCGTTAACACCTACATAGCAGTTTCCTTGGCCCTGTCGAGCAACGTCGTCGAATAAAGTAGCAATTGCACCAAATTGGTCTCTGGTATAGCATACCGACAGGGCATTAGTGACTTGGGGTTCGAAGTACAGATAGACGTCGTCGCATGCCACACACGCCCAGTTGCTCTGGTCGACACAGAATCCCGCTGGCGTGCTCGCCCATAGTTTCGTAAATGCACTATGAACCTTTAGAAACCCACCCCAGCCTGGCCCACCCCCCCCCAAGTCACAATTAGCTTCATAGTCTGGCCACCGCGCTTGGATCCTCGCTTCATGATCGCTATATATTGATTAGCTACAGCTTTTCCCATGCGAAATTAGGTGGTAATACGTACTTGGTAGCTACTGGAGTAGCGACCACAGCTGCGTTTGCACAGGCAAAGAGCCCTACAGCTACAGAGGCAAGCGTGAGACGCATGTTGGATATATAGTGGGTTGAAAATGTCAGGGACGGAAAACCTTTCGTAGTGGCGTTCAAAGAGAAAGAACAAGAACGGGCAAACGTGGGATGAGAAGTTGTATCTATATTCCGGCGCAGGTCGCCTGGCTAAATACCTAGAGGGTCCGTCCATCCTTGACGAATCAACAAAGCCAGACTGGAGTGCTCTTTACAATCTCCTCCTTCGGGGGGTGCGACCAACGGAGGCGTCTGGTAATGTAAGTTACTGTTGGTTTTGTTGTTGATGTTTCCATTATCCTAGCCAATCCCAAGCTGTATAGCATGTGGGTAAGGTTGAGGGCTAACATATCCGATCGCGAAAATCACTTAACAGGTAGGTACCTGTTACGTGATTTTCGCGATCCACGCGGCCGAGCGTGGTGGGGCGACCTCGGCGCGGACCTGCCCGCGAACCCAAATGTCACGGATAGGCGGCCGTGCTAAGACGGATGTTGAAAATCCTACGAAGAGAAGCTATTACGTTTGCGTCGTCAAACCGATAGCGACGGTGCACAATGTTTGAATTGATGAATGGCTCTAGCGCCTGTACAGTATCTACATCCAAAACGCCAATCCACCCGCTCAAAAGCTAAACAATCCCGACCTTCGCTTCCCAAACGGATACACAATCAACGCACTTAAGAAGAGCCCAACGTAATCCTAATCGCAACGTATTATCGATATCCAACATTAAACACAATCGAGTTGAGCTCCGTCTTTTCCTGTCCGACCTGAAAATAGTTAGCAATGTCACACGCAATCCCGTTTCTCCTCCAAGTAACCATTAAATGACGACAAATCGGGGATAGATGGCAGATATAAAAAGTCAAAGAAGCTTAGGAAAACAAACGAGAGCGCTGCCAGTACCAATCAAGAACGAATGGTGGTCTTCCCGCCACCATCCGCAGCCGCGGCTCTATAATCAGCGGGGAGAAGCTGTAAAAATTTGCTTACAGGGATCGTCTTATTCGTCGTGTTCGTAATGCCGTCGGCGCTGGTCAGTCCAGCCAGAAGAAGCATTATCGTTGTTTTTGTGCCCTACCTAGGTGGTGGGGAGGAGAGTGTCCTGCCAGAAGACTGCCGCTCGCGGCGAGACCCGAAGGAACCTGTACTAATATTGCGGGCAGTAATGCGGCTGCGGCGATACCATGGCGAAATCGACTGTACAAATTTCCCATCACTCCAATAACCACTGGTCCTAGAGTCTGTGACAGTTGTGCGTTCGATGCAAAGCGCCTCCACGTGAAGAAGTTGACCACATAGCCGCTGCACGATATGAGGAGCATCACAGGCGTCTGCTTCCACTTAGCCTAGTTGATGATACACAAGCACATCATAAATAGAGGTACAAATGCAAAGCAGGCGTATTGGTTCATCGGCCTGGCGCAGGGTGTTGCCGACGTAGCGTTGGTGTCCATTAGTCCATACATGGCCGTCCTAATGGTGATGCCGAATCCAAGGAAGAGCGAGTATATGACAGCGTAGACCATGCGGACAGAGCCAGCCACTATCAACTTTGATTGAAGTTCAAGCGATCCGCATAGAATGATATACCCCGGAAGGATCAACGTAATCGACGACTGGGCCAGCGCCGAAAAGCAAAACAGCCGCCGTCCCCCGTTGTACGGGATGCTTCCAAACCCACGTGCCAGAAACGAGGTGACGACTGCTGCACTGGTTTCAAACACATTCGCATACAGATCCGACTTTGGCGCGATGATCAATTGGAGAAATCCGAGCACGCATCCCAGGATGAAGGAGATGGGCAGGCCGATAAAGTTGGCTTCATCAAACGAAACAAGCATGCAGCCAGGAATGTACAGAAACTGGCCGTACACATCATCAAACGAAATAAGCATGCAGCCAGGAATGTACAGAAACTGGCCGTCCAGGTCCAACACTCTCGCAGTCATTCTCATATACTCCTCTAGTCAATGCGTCGGCGCGCCGTACGCCATCAACGCCCGACAGAGCCTGACGAGGTATTTCTGCCTTTGCAACGTTTCGGCGATGTGAACGGTAATCTTGATCTCATCTTCCAACCAGGGCCTGCTGATTTTGTGAAAAGCCTGCGTGAATCCCCCACTAGGTGTTCGGCCATGCATCGGAGGGCGCTTGCTGCTCCGTCCAGTCGGGGTATTTCCACCATACGCGGTAAGTTTTGAAGATGCTTCTACGAGTCCAGCTAGTGTCTCGCGGGATTGGTTCTTCTGATTGTACAGTCATAATCCGTCAAGTCGATACGCTTTTACCCGATATTTATGATATCTTGATATATTTTGCGGGATCCATCCTTTTTACATACAAACCCCGATATACACGATATCGTGCCTTTTCTTCAGATTATCGACTTATACTAACCTCTTCTTCACTTTACAGCAATTCGATGACTCTCGACCAACGACGTACTCTCTGGCGCTAGCACTGCGAACAACGCCCTCGACCTTCGTAGAAAGCTTGCATCGCATGGTTCCAAGACCAATACCAGACTCGAGTCAGCCAATCTACTGTCTCCGAATCTCTTAGCGCTCGATTTGCCTACCTCGACGGCACCCCACAAGCAGACGGTCAAGAATGACGACGACGACGTGACGCTGCTTAGCCACAGCTAGAAGCTATCCTTTTCGACTAGCAGAAGCTTATTGAACGACGAGGAGGGGTTATAACAGGTAAGGTTTTGCAAGAGAAGGCAAAGCAGATCTAGGCACAATTACCATAACACGAAGGGGAAACATGTAAGGATGCCTCCGTACCTAGATACTCGAAGAACCTGTCTCAGAACTGTTACGGTCACTACAAACATGGAATCCGACTCGGTGGGGTTTCGAACCAGTAGAGGATCATATAGCGAGTTACACTATAGTGGGGGATGGTAAGTGTATAGGGTTCAGGGCCGATGTAGACCTGTTGCGGTGGAAGGTTCAGGGCTAGGGTTGGGATAACCGAGTCGGGCCCGTTTCGGGAGTTAAGGAAACAGACTCAACGGGGTTCCCCCTTCATCTTTTTTGTATCCTTCGTAGTAGACCTATAGGATAGAATACAGCATCACCTCCGACTCGCACTCCCATATGCACCTACGGAGAGCCGTATTCCCTGTGTCCTTACAAAACAGTCCTAGAGTTTAGGTTGGGTGGGTCACAAGGTTTCGACAACATCATAAGATTCTTAATCAAGTTCGACACGGTAAAGCTAGATTAGTTCTAGCTATAGCAGAGGAAGAGATGCGAGCAATTCAAATAGTAGTAGGGGAATACTTAGAGGAGGATATATATAACATGGATGAGATGGGACTATACTAGAAGATGACAGCGGAGGCAGCTATAGGTTGGAAAAGAGAGAAGGCAAGAATATTAGTAGTTGTTTGTGTTAATTCAACTAGCACAGATCGATTTCCACTATGGTTTATTAGAAAGGCAAAGACACCACGAGCCCTTCGAAATGTTAAAGACATAGCAATGGGAGGGGTTTAGAGATGGAATAAAAAGGCTTAGATCAATCAGTTCATTATGGCAGAATGGTTAAAGGCCTTCTGTTTACAAGTAGGCACATCTCGATTAATACTCCTAACGATGGATAACTTCTTAGCACATATTGCCGCTATTAAATCAACTCCTCCTCCCCTAAACATCTACATCATCTAGCTTCCTCTAAATCCAACAAGCTGATTTCAACCTCTTATTAAGGCATCATCGCTGCCCTTAAAGCATACTACTAGTGACAATGGCTCCACTATATGCTTAAATGTTATAAAGCGAATAAAGACCCTGTCTAAGCAATGAATGTCTGACTTGCCATTCGATGGCTCATTCGATCATGGACTCACAATGTTACAAACATAACTATCTATAACTGCTTTCGAAAAAGCACAATTCACCAATGCCTAATTCAGCTTCTAATACACCCTCTTCCTAATATGAACGACCTTTATTAACAAGTACAACAAGTTGGCCACATCCATGATGCTATGGATCTCTTGAACTTCTTAAATCTAGTGGAGGAGTACATAGAGATGATGGAGGAGAGCATTAGGGAGCCTATAGGGGAGGATATACTCGTGCAGCCCAAAAATTTCCACAGGGTCTGTGCGTAATAAGTGGGGTGTGTAAGTACTTGGAGAAAATGCATGTACATACTCTACTCGTACTATTGATCTACCCACGGAAGTTGTTCCCCCCATTGACTGCAATACACTGCTCCAACTTGTCCTTAAACGAAGCACATAATTGTGTAGATTCCCCCATTCTTCCTCAAGAAATACCCGTGATGAGCTCTCTCAAACTTCTCTCCGTTTAATGGTGTATAGCCGTCAACCTGATCCTTGAGATAATCAAAGGCATTTTCAATAGGGTGCAAATCGGGAGAGTTTGGAGGCAAAAATTTCACTCTATATATTCCCTCCTTCTTCATATAATCTTCCAATGATCGGTGAGCCTTCAAATGAAGACTTGCATTATTATCCACAAACCATACTCGTTTTGTAGGATGTAAAGCCTTTACTTTTCAAAAGTAGGGGAAGAGAAGAGGAATAAGAACCATCTCTCAATATAGAAACCAATCAATCCTGCCCTTTGAAACTTCTTGCCCTTCTGATTGCCGTCCTCTACTCCATGTCTCTATATCTCCAACTCTTGTGAAGCAACTCGTGCCTTTTTCCATTTGATTTTGCCATTCCGAATATCTGCATTTAGAGTTTCCATATATCCGTACTCAAGAGTTCCAACTGTTGTTGTTCTAACAAGTTCATTCTCTGCTTTTGATTTCCAATATGCATTTATCTCTCGTAGTTTCTGCACATGTATCTGCTTCTCTTCTATACTTTCAGGAATCCATGAACGAGAAGGGCGTAACATAGAGGTTTCTGAACTCATTGCTCCCCAAAACATAACTTGAAATAAAGATTTCTTCTGTTGAATTGCCATGCTCTCTGCTGTATGACCCCATTGAACTGTTATCCGTCGTTTCTTACGTGGATTCCCTCCGAAATTGATATATGATTCGTCTGAGAAAATAAAAATTGATCCAGCTTCAAGTTCGGATAGTGCCCATTTGCAGAATTTTCATCGTACTGAAGGAATGATATTATTCAAGTAGGGCTTGAGGCAGATGTTTTTCTGTACAATAGGTTGTGGAATTTCAACACTTGTGTAATGGTGGGTGCACCAGATGTGAGAATCTAGCCACCCAAGGAAGGGATAAATTTACTAAGACAACACACTGTCTTAGAAAACAGAGCCAAAGGGTCGTAGCTTAGACTATTCCACAACGCAGCAATCAGGTGTATGATGTAGTGAAGTGGTTCAGACAAGTTGCAACAAATGTTGAGTCTGGGAACTCAGGGGTAAGTCAGAGGTTAACACCTCACTGACTTTTCAGAAACAAGGAGTAACAAGATGAATGCTTGGAAGCGTGGAAAAGACGTGGAAGTATGTGATAGTCAATTTACTGTATTGTCTGCTTGCCCTTTCTTAAGGAAAGGGCAATCCTATTTATGCTAAAGGAGTGTAGTTCTCTCATTTTCCAAGACTTTCCATGATTACCAGGCTTGGTAACTGTAGTCGACGTAAGAGAATCCCATAGAACCATCTCTTAGGTTCGTAGCCTATAGGAAGTAAAAGGAGGTCCAAGGTCAGAGTACCCTATAGACAAATTATGTCATAGACAAATTATGTCATAACTTAACCAATCTTGTGGGTAACTAAAGAGCGATGACATGTAATGAATCATAGAGGTTCGTAGGAGCTTTTAGAGCTATCGTTCATGCTCCTAGGCCTCTAGTTGGTAGAGATATGTCATGTGGTAGTATGAGTGATGTCATGTAATGAATCATAGAGGGTTGTAGAGATATGCTATGTGGTAATATCGGCCCAGTAACTAAGGAGCGATGACGTGTAATGAATCATAGATGGTTGTAGCAATCGTTGAGTAGTATTGCTCTTGTTGTTGGTGTGATAAACCAGAATATGTTTAGATTTTGCTTATTAATAACTTGTTGAAAAGTGTCAAATGGATTTGCAAGTAGCAAAGATCGTATGCGTAGTAACTCTTCAGAATCCCTTTGAATTGTCTGTGGTCTTCCACTTTGTGGCTTTGATTCGAGGTGTTGGAGAAGGTTGTGAATTTCAGTATTCCCTGCCTTTTTAAGTTTGGTGCCATATATATGCAATAGAGTCAGCTGAGATTCCAAGCTTCTTTTCAATCTCTCCATATGATGCGTTCATGTATCCATGCAAGGTAATAATTGCAGCACATAGTGGTATTGAGATTTCAGCCATTGTTGAGCATTACTTCATTGCTTCATTCACTCTCATATTCTATGCGTGTACATTTTCTATGCATGTACTCGGGTACAAGTACATGGTGCTTGGTAGTGGAAATTGGGCCGCACAAGTACTGCTAGAGCAAGTCATTGCACAATATATACCAGATTCTAAGGCTCAAGATGATGACGAGGATAAAAAGCTTAATTTACAGTCTATGCTAACCCTACAAGCTACACATCAAGCTGTACAACGTCTAATTCAGTTCATAGAATCTAGGAATAGTGGCACGAAGGAGGCAGCAGTGTATTTATGGTCCTTTTAGAAGTTTAAGAGAGAGTTAGGGCTTATAGTAGCCAATTCTAAGGCATAGGGAATCTTAGATTGCTGGTTTATGTAAATAGCCTCATTTTATATAGATGTCTTGTGAAATTCGATATCTTAATATTTACACTATCTCAATATTATTTACAGGAGCTAAGCTATCAACTTAACAGATTATGACTGTACCACTTTGAATTCTTCTTTAGCCCTGTTAGTTATGGGGCTAGCAGGGCTAGGCTCTAGTAACATGACCTAAGAAGTCACGATGCTAGTAGGGCTAGGCTGTAGCATGACTAGGCTAGTGGATAGCTGTAGAAACTAGTGGATATTAGATAGTTAAGCTATCTATCAACTATCTAGATTATCTAGCTATCTATCAACTATCCGGATTATCCATAAGGCACAACACCACTATATAAGTACATAGTATTCCCTTACATAGAAGCTTCGTGCTCAACTTAATATAGTATTCTTTACAATACTATAACGTGTTACTTAA